CAAAATAGGTCTCCTTCAACTGACTCTCACTTAATGAAATCTCACTTAATGAGATCTATGAAGAGAAATAATGGCAGGGAAGGGAGGGCACACGTCGGGGAAGGAACCACAAGCACAGAAAGTGGTAAGTATGTGGGTAAATCTGAACAAACATTTATACTTTAAAATGATAACATCTAACCAACAAGGCTAAAAAAAAACACAGAACTAAACACTGGGCGAAAAATGGGACCCAAGCTAGCAGGGGAGGGGGGTGAGGGGTGGTAATGACTGGAATTGAATGATAAAGTCCCTGCATTGTTTACAAGGAGAGGAAAGATCCTGATTCCCTTCAAACTCTTACATATGCATGCTGAAATGTCTAGAGAACCACTGAAAGAATAATAATAGAGTGTAAACCTTCCAAACTACTATAGCATAATATATGAAATAAGGGAAAAAGTCAACTCAATAGAAGATAAGAAATGAAAGAAAAAGAAACATGAAGAGGTAGGACAAATTGAAAGAATGAAATAACATGAAGGAATACAATGAAATAAATCTGAAATTGCAACAAATATAAATGGATTATATATTTCATTTAAAAGATATTACAGACTTCACAAAAAGATCCAGCATTATGTCATTTATAAAAGATGCATCTAAAATACAGGACGTAGAGCTTCCCTGGTGGAATCTGCCTGCCGGTGCAGGAGACATGGGTCTGATCCCTCGTCCAGGAAGATCCCACATGCCGCAGGGGGTTAAACCCTTGCACCACAACTATGCAGCCTGTGCTCCAGAGCCCGGGAGCCACAACTGCTGAACCTACGCAACGCAGCTACTGACGCCCAGGAGCCCTAGATCCGGTGTTCCATAGCAAGAAAAGCCACACAATGAGAGGACCCCGCGTGGCGAGTAGATAGCAGACCCCGCCCGCTGCACCTGGAGAAAAGCCCGGCGGCCACCAAGGGCCAGCACAGCCAAAGATGAGCAAGTAAATGAAAGCATTTAAAAATACAATACAGGACGTGGAGAGTCTGAAAAAACAAAGAACGGAAACCTAATGGGAAAAACTAACAATGAAGAAGCTGATTATATCCCACAGATGCCACACAAAATACACTTTAAGACAAAACTGCTGTGAGATGTAAAGTGTACTACTTCATAATAATAAAAATATTCAAATCTCCAAGAAGGTGCAACAATTCTAAATGTGTATATACCAAATAGTTTAACTTCAAAATATATCAAGAAAAAAATCATAATCTATCATCTTAGTAAGAGATTTTCAACACACTTTTCTCAGCTAAAAAAGTAGATCAAATTAGGATAGTGGTCATCTTACAAAAGATGGTGGCTCGGGGCCATGAGGGGACTTCTTGGGTGAAGCTAACATTCTATTTTTTTAATATAGGTGCTGGTTACATAGGTGTACTCGCTTAAAAAACCATCTGTCTACAAATGTAACCACAGACAAATACACACACAGCATATGTTTACATATATATATATAAATATACACATCTATATCCATATATATTGCAAATGGTGTGCATTTGTGTGCATACATGCATAATGTTTCCATTTATATGAAAGCACACACAACTGAACCATATGCAGTTTCACAATAAAAAAGTATGTGGCAACATTATAAAGTAAAACAAGGATACAAACCAGAAACAATACACTTCACATCTACTTACATCCAAGCAGAAAGAATTCTGCCATTCTTAGCTGCAAGGGAGTCTTAGAAACAAGGTAGTTAATGGACATATGTTGGAAGCCAGTAGACTCTGCCACAGGCAGAAATTCCACAGCCTTGAAAGTCAGGGATAGGATTTTCACCCTTTACAGGAGTCCAGAGGACCCAGCTCAGAGAACAGACCTGCAGACAGTAGGAGATGCTGCCTTCACCCATGAGGGATAGTGAAGTCCCTAATCTTTCTGCCTGGATGGTGGAAGGATGGGATGGTGGAGGGGAAGTGAAAGAAGAGCCCACCCCTCCCTGAGTCCAGTGAATGATGGCAAAGAGAAAGCAGATAAGAAGACAGTGCAGACTGCGTGTCTGACTTCTCCCTGGGGCATTCTGCCTTGAGAGGAGGTACCTCTGAGGACAGAGGGTGGCCTTGTGCCCACAGCCCTCCAGCATCCGAAGCCTTAGAAAGAGGAGGGAGAAGCCTAACTCCCCTCTTTCAAGCAGTTTAGGGACAGAGGTCTTCAGCAGGACGGAAGAAGGGAAGGAGTTAGGAGGGACAGAACCCCCAGGAGGTTCCCGGCTGTATTCTCAGAGGCAGGCATCAAAACTCAAGATGAGGAGGTGACCACGAGGTGGGATTCAAAGACAGCAGCAAGGAACCCTGGCTACAAATGAGACACACGACGCACGAAACACGGTAGCCAGGGGTGGGGGCAGGGTTTAGGGCAGGAAGAATGGACTGCCCCCACTGGTGGCCCACCTCCCCGCCCCCCCCCACTTCCTGGGGTCGTCTCCCAGATAAACTACCCACCCTGGAATCCTCCTGGCAGGGACAACTGTGAAACTAAAACAGGCATTTATACCTGCAGAGAGGAACTCAGGGAGGGTGCCACTTGTGTCTGTCAAGATAAGTTTAGAACACGAACTTCACAAGGGCCACACTGGGGGATACGCCCAGTTTAAGAAGCCAGTCCGTCAGGCAACGGATGGCAGACTCTGCCAGCGACCGCATCCCCTTAACATCCCTACCGCAGAGCATAGTCCCCAGGGCGCAGCAGTCACTCACTCACTGTTCATTCAGTGAATGGGTGTATGATTCGTTTCCCCAGACTGGCGCAGATATATCTTGGGCATGTCCCCAGATCAATTCTTTAAAATGATTTCACAGGCAAAATCTGTGACAGCCTGCATGTGAAGTATGAATTAGTTACTGACCATTCACCCGAAATCTTCAAGAGAACTGGAAAGTGCCAGGCAACTGCATCGTTATTGAAAATGTCCACATCGGTTCCATTTCGAGTTCCAACCAGTCACATACATACCAGGCCAAGTGGGATGCCTGGTGAAGATTTAACTTGTCACATTTCCTGTTTGCTAGCAGAAAAGCAGAGCTCCTTGCTTAGATGAGGAAATCAGACCAACCCAGTTTTGTTGGTCTCTATAAACACATGTGGAGTTTGTACAGCTAAGGATGTCCCAGGAAGGAGATAGTCAACACCCTCTTAATCTGACAATTTAAGCCAGTTTTTTTTTTCATTCCAAAAGAAATAAAGGAGATATCCCCATATTTGCATGTCGGAGTGTTTTAAGCAGTTCGTGTGAATTAAAAAGACAGTGAAGGACAGGGGAACCTGGCGTGATGCAGTCCACGGGGTCACAGAGAATCAGACACGACTGAGTGGCTCAACAACAATAAAAGAGAACGTTGTCCAGGAAATCTGTCTTTATGGATGCCACCAAGAGAAATTCTAAATGTAATATTTGGGTAATTCAGGAAAATCACATCCCTGCGGTAAAAGCCTTTTGTTTACCAACTCGGTGAATGTGTTCAGGGACGCATGAAGGGAAATTCAAACGATGAAGACAGATTAAGGAAGATAACCTCTGACAAGGGAGCCAAAATGCTCCTCCCATCAGTAATGGTTGGAAGATGTGGGAATACAGAATGTCAAGAAGTAAAACCCTACTTCTTGCCAAAATCAGAACAAATATTACCCCACCGCCACCCCTGCCATTTTTTCCCAGGAGGAGACTCCGTCTCAAGCAGGGACGGAGCTCTCAAGGATCAGCCCTGGAAGAGACACAGAGGAGCAGGCGTGAGGGGCCAGTGGGCTGGAAGATGCCTGCAGCTCGGAGCCAGGGGGCCTGAGGGTGAGAGCGAGGTGGCTACCGGAGGGTGCTGGCCCTGGAAACATCGTGACCTCGGTCTCTTCATCTGTAAAACGGCACATGAATGCATATTATCATTATTTCTTAGTAGCAGTAACATTATATTAATACTAGATTATCATAAGAATCAATCGGGTCAGCACCTGATAAATGAAAAGCCCTTACCAATTTGAGGTGATTTTTCTGTATTATCCAATACTGCCAAACTTACCATGAGTAACTTACTTCTTTTCCAAGACCATTCTAAATGTTAAATCCAGTCCCATGAAACCATATGACAGTCTTAATTTAGAGCCATTATTTAAAAAGTGAAAGTGTTAACTAGTCATTAAATGGTAACGGTTTTCATTTTAAAGGTTGCAAAAACCTTAAGTTTGCCAAGTCAGAACATTTCAGAGTTTAAAGAGATATCTGAGGTTACCTAAAATGTAACCTTGTATAATATACTAAAAATTACCTCTTCAAGTAGGATTTGCTACTGTCTGAATTTTAAGATGTTTTGGAAAAATTGAAGGCAGGAGGAGAAGGGGACGACAGAGGATGAGATGGTTGGATGGCATCACCGACTCAATGGACATGGGTTTGGGTAAACTCCGGGAGTTGGTGATGGACAGGGAGGCCTGGCATGCTGCAGCCCATGGAGTCACAAAGAGTCAGACACGACTGCTGAACAACTGAACTGAACTGAATTTTAAGATAAAGTGCCATCTGCAAAGGTAACGAACACACACTAATACTTGGAGTCCTCCATTACCAACTTCAGCAAGGCCGCGGTAACTGGACAGCTTTGAGTTCCAAAACAACGTCCCCAAGAACACTGGCGAGTATATGCTCACTGGAGGAGAATCCCTGGCCTGCTGCTATGAACACGCCCTGGGACAGCTCTATTTGTTTTCTGTGACGGGACACACTCCTTCTTCTTTGAAATGCAGGTGGGAGAAGGAATAAGATAGGTTTCCACAGCCCAAACGTGAAAACCTTTATTCAACTCAATTCAACAAACAAAAGTTAAACACAATCATTTTATCTGCCACCACAGCCAACTATTTTGTGCCTATACCAGCTTCATCTTTCTAGAGGAAATGTCTTCTTTAAAAAAAAGAAAAAGCTTCAGCACAAATTGTTGGAAGATCTGTGGCTTCCCAGAATATCGATGACTTTGATCGCCACCTCCGACCCCATGCAGGTAACAGAAGCACAGTGGAACTAATAGGAGCCTGCAGACAGGAGGGGCTTCCCTGGAGGCTCAGACAGTCAAGAGTCTGCCTGCAATGCGGGAGACCCGGGTTCGATCCCTGAGTTGGGACGATCCCCTGGAGAAGGAACGGCTACCCACTCCAGTATTCTTGCCTGGAGATTTCCATGGACAGAGGAGCCTGGCGGGCTGTGGTCCATGGGGTCACAAAGGGTCGGACAGGAGGTTATGCCTTCTACTTGTGTAAACTGTGCAGCCCCCAAGAAGCAATGCAGGGAGGTCTGCTGCGCCCGAAGAAGCACAGGGCTACTGTGCTGCCATCTCTGCTCCTTCCTTCTGCCACGACACACGTGAGATTCACGGAGTTGTCAAAATTAGTGGAAGGGAAGGGGATCCCTCCGTCCATCACCCCTAGAAACCTTAGTATTCATGGCCTCTGGGATGGAAAAAGGGGGACCCAACACTGCCATTTCAGTAAATCTCGTTACAGAAGAGACAATCAGAGAATATTTGATGACATTCAAATATCATCCGCGTGTTATCATTTTCCTCAACACTCAAAACACTACTGTGACTGCCAGGCAGGTTACATAGCTTGGCAAACCTTCATTTCATGAATGACACTTAATATGAAATCATCTTCCCTGACAAATGGAGGAACAGTGATATAACAGATCCCGAGGTGGCACCGGAATCAATCGCCGTCCAGGACGATGAGAATCCACTCGTCTCAAACACCTCCACGCCAGCCCCGCCGCGTCTAGGCAAGGAGGCCCTGCACAAACCTCTGCCAGCCCCTCGTCGCCGACACAAGCAGGCTTGTGCAGGGCTTGTGCAGGCCGGTGCAGCCTGGCTCCACGCGGCCGGCTCAGCGGAGCCGCTGTCTGGCCCGTGAGCACAGGCGCCCTCTGCAATTGTCAGGGCAGAAGTTGGTTCTCTCTTCATCTCAGAAGTTCCAGGACTCTGCAGGCAATTCCCCCGGGGTCTTCCTTAGAGACGACCTGGGGCACTTTAAAAGCAGTGGTTTCCCAACTGCTCACAGGGGTCCTAGGCTCCTAGGGCACAGCCCAGGAGCGGACCATGGACTCGGGGCTCCTGGCGCTGGGTTCCCAGCAAAGCACTTCTCTTTTTATTCCACTCACATATTAGGGTCTTGCATAAGATTCCATTTGGTGCTGAATATAAAACCAAAGTGATGTCTTCAAAAATGTGTGAAAACCCCTGCAACAAGCCCTCCCTAAGGCTCTCTTAACGCCCTCCCCAGGCCACCCCCTTCGAATGGAGGTTTATGTGCTTCTTTTCCTCTAAAGAACCTCTGCCTGTTTCCTCTTTCAAACTTTGAAACATGAATTGAAACTACTAAATATATTTATTTATAATATTCAAAAATTAATCTGGAGGTTTGCACAACAAATCTTTTCAAGGTGAAGATTTGCTTTTCTCATATAGACTCTAGCCTGGCTTTGACTATACCCCCGCCTCAAATTCCAACTCTCCCCATAAACCGTCCGCAACGGAGGCATACACCTGACATTTAATCTTTACGGATTCTGCTGTTACAAGCCAAGAGAGGAATGCAGCGGCCTCGTTCCCTTTACCTCTCCACAAACCTGGCATTTGATTGGTATTCTGGGCTAATTATTAGAAATTTGGCATAGTCATCAAAAAATGCCAACTTCGGTCAGTGTCTATATATCTGACAACTGAAAACGAACTGGAATTTTACTGAACATCTTGTTAACGTGTGTGTTGGTCAAATAAGTTGTACATAGCGGGATAATGATCAATTTTTCTAATCTCAAAGCCAAAAATAAATGAACAGAAATGCCAAAGATCTGAAGTAATTTAATTGTACTCAACAGTCCATTTAAAAACGAAACGTTCTGAGCAAACTCCTTGACTGACCATGGAGCATGAAGGCAGATTCTTGAAACCAACAAATCCCATTCATTTCCTTCAGTTTGTAAAAACAAGCAACTGACAAGTTTCCTGCCAATGAACATAGCTGAAGATAAGAAAGCTCCTTACAGGAAATCCTTTGCTAAAGAGAACAGTTATGCCATTAAGGTTAACCTTTTTCACCAAATCTCAATTAGTTAAACATCTGACCACATGGGATCATGAAATACATGCTAAATGACCCCCAGTGATGCTGTATTGCTTCTAATGTCTATATTTCCTATGACATAGATGCAGGGTGAAGAGAAGTGAAGTGAAGTGAACGTCGCTCAGTCGTGTCCGACTCTTTGCGAACCCCATGGACTATACAGTCCATGGAATTCTCCAGGCCAGAACACTGGAGCGGGTAGCCTTTCCCTTCTCCAGGGGATCTTCCCAACCCAGGGATCGAACCCAGGTCTCCCACATTGCAGGCGGATTCTTTACCAGCTGAGCCACAAGGGAAGCCCAGATGCAGGGTAGTAAATAAATATTACAGTACATTTATGATTCTTTCCACCTCCTCTCCCTGCTCCCCCTCTATGCAATTAGTTGATGAAAACAAGGGAAATTTTCTGCTTGTTTTTTTAAAAAGATCAAAGTGTTAGTTAATTGAGATTAAAATTCACCATTTTCAATTAAGATTAAGCAACACAAAGCTATAAATCATCATGACTGTAAGAAGGATATTTCTAAATGAATATCAAGCACTTCAAAATTTAAAGACCACCATGGACAAGATTAGAAAACATGTAAGAAATGTACTGGCTTTATATTTACAAGCTTCAATGTTGTCCCCCAAAGTCACAATTCAGCCTCCTTGGCTAATGTCTTGCTCAGCAAAGTGAGAGGGGGAGATCCCCAGACGTTTCCCCTTTCTTTCCTCTCCTCACTAAAACCACTACCAAGATACTGAACATATTCACAACCCTGAGCTGGGAGCCTCTCAATTATCCTAAAAATTAAAGCACTCTTCTCTAACCACAGAAAAGGAAACTTTTTCTAAGTAACTGAATAATAATAATTGCAGTTTTGAAAGAGCTCTTAATTCCGTGTAGGAGTATCCTTCCCCTGCTCAGTTACTGAGAACACCCTTCCTTATCACCCAAAGCACCAGATTCGTCAACCATCCTGCACAGGGAGCCTTAGAGCAAAGCTCCGAAATGCCACAGTTCTTTACATTCAATTGCTACAGTTCACGTTCGAAGTCTCTTGCAAACTGAAACTCTTCATTATACTGTCCCCACGTGACTCTTCCGCTCCAGGTAACAGCCTATAGTCTTTACAGCTCCACAAAGAGCAGACACACGAATCAGTTTGCTCCCACAATTAAGTGATCAAATACATGCTTCTCGGCCTTCCCCGGTGCAACTCCGAGGTAACAAAATGCAAAGTACTAAGTATGTGTGCTCACCCTTGCTTTCAGCCCCTTTCCTCACATCTTTCCATAAAAACACAGTTATGAAATCCAGGAGACTGCATTTTTGGTTGTTGTTGTAAAATGACCTTGATTTGACAGGCACGGTCTCAGGTTTCAACAGATGCTGTGGGAAAGCTTACAGAAGCCAGCACGTTCTCCAGGCATCTGTGATGACATGCAGGCTTTTTTTTTTTTAAGTGGTGGTTATGGTAGTGTATGTGTGTTGGGGGGTGGGGGGGGGGAGGTTACTCGTTTCAGTTTCCATGACAACCATGTCTCTACTCATGGGTTATTAGATACCATCCACTTCCTGTGTCTAAATTTTTAAGCCAATCAGAAAAGTGTTTATACATTTAACAACTTCTGGGACTGTCTTTCTTTAATTGGGGTGTTTTAAGCCTCAAATGAAGTTGGCCACCAGCCTTATGTTTTTCCTCTTATATAGAACATTTCACATTTACCAATTCACATTCTTTTAAGGTGAGGGATGCCCTTTTTCTCTGAAAAGCATTCTCCTCAAACCAGATGTCACAATCTTATAAGTGCACAAAGATTTTGACTGTTGGCTCTTCATGGCCTTTTTCTTTCACTGTTACAGACTAAAATTTAGAAATTTAGTGCATGATACATGCACAAGACACTTAACATTATCAAAGCAAAGATACAGTTAAGCACCCCTCCGCCGATGGTAATATTTTAACTCTTCAGATCCAAAAAACGGTTAGGAAAAATTATTCTGAGTTGGACAACTTTGCATTCTACAACTCCCAAGCAGAAATCACCAAGATCGTATTGTAAAGTGATATGTCTACAAATGCAAGCTAGTAGCTGACATCTGCAAAGAAATTTGTCACCAAAATGGCCTACTTTATCTGAATAGAAGCAAGAACAAAAAACTAAATACTAAGGTGTCTCAAGCCAAGTGCACCCGAGTTAAAAATCAACCTTGCAGAAATCTGGGCCCGAGAAGGCTACTCTGAAATGACAGCATGATTTTCAAAGACAGTTTGGGGTGACTGTTTCCCTAAGTCTCCATCTAACTGACCGATCGGTGTGACAGCAGAGTGGGCTGGAGTCGTTTGTGCAGTCTTCCGAGCTCTGCGCTCTCCCCTCTCTAAGGCAGAGCAGGCGATCAATGAAAAACAGGGAACAAAAGGAATGTAACAGGATGTCTTCCTTAGTGAAGGAAAATGATTCCCTTTTTCCTCAATGAGCCAGTCCCACCCAGCCCAGGACAGCTCCACATAGGAGCTCCCAGCAGATCAGACCTTGGGGCTGAAGCACATTTTATATTCGCAATCCTGTGTCCCAACTGCTGGCAAATGTGTCACCTTTAAGCACATCCTGTGACAGAGGGCTCCCGGGGCCCAACCAATTGAAACTGATAAATTAAATAAATTAATAATCCCACCACGAAAAGCTGCCGAGAAGGACCGCGTTTTCCCTTCTCCAAATGTCAATCGGGCAGTATAAACAAAGCATGAAAAATAGTCTCTCCAGCCTTCCCAGCCAGGAATCATGGTTTTTCTCCGCCAAACAAGGCTTCTCCAAAAAGAGAAATATTCTTACTGCCTTCCAAGGAAACTCTCGTCTGTAGATGTCATATCAGGATAACCAGTTACAGTATTTGAAAAGAGGTTTAAACTGCCCCCAGATTTGACACTCTGTTTATAATTGATAGCAAAACAGTTGCGACAGCAATGCTGTAAACTCTGCCAGCCAAACTCCACATTTAACACATTAGTTCCTTGAAAATAAAAGTAATGTCTTGGGGAGCCCACAAAAGTAAAGACTCAGAAAGTAATTAACAGAATTACTGCAATTATTTGATCATTTTAATAAATTATCCACTTGTCTGCTGGGTTTTTTTTTTATTTTATTTTTTTAAAAGTGACTATCCACACATTCCTGAGAAACTTTTTTTTTTTTTAATGAACTTACTTTTGAGACAGAACTAATGAAAAATATGCAACTCGCCGTCCCCCGGATCTCTCCCGTGTGAAGTGCAGGCTATAAATCCATCCGAAACCAGGTTGGGACACGGGGACGGACACCTTAGACACAGCCCCGGGTGCCCCCAAAATGCAGCCGAGCCCGAAAGCGAGGGCGCCCCCGCGACAAAGCCGAAGCAGAGCAGGGGCTGCGGGGGCGGGAGAGGGGCCCCCGGTCGTTACCTGCGATCGGCCGCGCGCCCCGGGCTCCTCGCGGCCGCATCGGGGGGCCGCGGCGGCGCTGGACTCGCGGGGCCCCCGCCGCCGGGCCGCGCCGTCTCCGGGCCGAGCTGCCGCCGATCGCGGCCGGAACCCGGCTCCAGCCCGGCGCCCGCCCGGGTCGGCGGCTCCGCGGGCGCGGGCCCGCCGGGTCCTAGCGCGCGCCGCCCGCCTGCAGCCGCACGTCCGGCCCCGCGCAGGCCGAGCCGCGGCCGCGGCAGGTGCGGGCAAGCCGGGCGGCGTGTCCGATCCCCGCCCGGGACGCCGAGAGGAAAGCAGGGGCGCCCGCGGAACGCGCGGGAGGCGGGTGTTCGCATGTGCAGCCCCCGCGTCAGGCACCGGGCGGTCCCCGGTTCCCGCAGTTTCGCCTGCTGCACTTGAGACAGTCTACCGACTGATCCCTGCGGGATCCGGAGTGACAGGCTTCAAAAATATAACGCCCCCCCACCAAAATTTTTTTTAAAGATCGAAAATGGTGTGTTTAAGTTTTAAACAGTTTTCCAGTGATTTTTTCCCCCCAACACGTCCTTCTGCATTTTGCTCTCACTTTATCATGTGCTATTTTAAATAACAAAGGCCCATATGGCTAAACACGTAGTCATTTGATTTTCAAAAGACCTCAAAAATTGCATCAGAATATGCACTCGTGTATCTCCTAAGAAATCAACGAGCAAGAATTAATGGTGGCATATGGTGTGCTTCGTGGAGGAAACTTAATTACAAATTAAAACAAATGCAAAAATTCACAAATTCACTAAACTGAAAGTAAGTGATGACCCTAGATGTATACACAAATCGGTTTATGTGCAATTAGGGGAAATGTAAGTTCTAGATTCCTCTAACTGCAGAAAGTCTGTTACAAGAAGAGATTTCCCTCATTTGCTCCCCAAAGGGCCTTCAGCACCCGCTCAGCACAGTCGTTTCTTGCGGCCCACCTGGAAGGCAACTTTTAAACTTGCAAATGATCATTTAAGAGGCCAATTCTATTAGCTCTTAATTCAAAATAAAAGTGCTTTAGTTCGAAAAGCCTGTTTAAAAGGCTTCAAGACTGGGAGTTTTCTTTCCATCTTTGCTATCAGCAAGTTTGAAGGTCACAATTCTGCAAAACTGCTAATAATAATGGCACCGTGGTTTGAGACCAAAAGGAAAAGCAAATATGTGTTTTCTGAGTTTCTATTTTAGGAGCTCAAAAAGTCCCTTCGAAAATTACTCTTGCCCTCCTCCTTCCCAATTATAGCTAAATAAATGTAATGGAAGATTTTTAGTATTAATTAAACATCAAAGGCACCTTTTCTGCTTCTTGATGTCCACGCAAAGAAATAGTTGTACTGTGTTACATTTGTCCATCTTCAAAGTCCTCCCGCAGACATCTCATGTAATCTTCACCCTACTTCTGTGGTAAATCAGACACTATAATCCCTGGTTTTCAAGCAAGGAAGTGGAGGTCCTGAAGAGTACAGGGTCCAAGGTCACACAGCTGGTCCTCAGAGCAGCTGGGATCCGCAGCTGAGATCCCAGGATTTCCAACTGATTCCTGCTTTTTCAAGTGACCACCTGCCTCCCAGCTATTTCTCTACAAACACTATGGAAAATGAGGCATCCAAAACACAGGTTCCTGTAGTCACAATTTCTTACCTGTTGTAGAGCAGCGATCTACCAGAATGGAAATAAGAAGTTAGTTGCAAAGGTTTTCATCTCTGCTACACGAGAAAGCTGACCGGTCAAGTTTCTGTCCTGTGGCGGCCCAGGGCACCCGGCGGACTGGAAACTGGAGCTCTGGGGCTACGCAATGCCCCTGTCAGCCGTACACCTTCCACACTTATCAGAGGCTGACTCCGCGTGACACGTGGAGGAGTGAGGTGTCCCCAGCCCCAGCACTGAAAGTCCACGGGAGCTCTGGAACCCCAGAAGTCTCCGACGCCAGGTGGCCTGTTGGAGAGAGACTGGCCATCCTGTCCGGACCTGCTGACAAGCGGGGCGGGAGTTCTCAGCCCTCCTGCACCCCTGGGAAAGTCACCAGTCAGTTCTGTTTGTGGCACTCCACTTCCTCCTCCCCTCCGCCGAAAGGAAATGTGACTTCTCTGATGATGGGTCCCAAACCACCTAAATACCAGCCAGGTGAGGGCTGGCTGACACTTAACGGAAAAGACAGAAATACCTGATTCTTTAAAAAACGATTCTTTCCTTTTCTTATGCAGCTCGTAAGGAAGGGGTTAGGCATGGCAGTCCTTAGAAGACATGGCCTTGGACGGATTAATGCGAAACCTACTTGGTGAATTCATTTGACTCCTTTGTTGACAACTGGTCCTGGGACTTCCCCAGCAGTTAAGTGATTAAGATTTTTGCCTTCCAGTGCAGGGGGTGTGGGTTCCATCCCTGGTTGGGGAACTAAGATGCCGCATACCTTGCAGCCAAAAATCCAAAGTATAAACAACATAAGCAGTACTGTTCCAAATTCAATAAAGACTTAAACAAATTTTTTTTTAATTAAAAAAGAAGATCTTATTATAGTCACACCATCCACTGTGGTCTTCAAATGTTAACAAATGCTAGGCCAAAAGTCATCTTAGCTGATGAGAGACTGAACAGAAAAGCTAGTGGTGAGCAGTTCCTCAAAGCTACAGCACACCAGAAGAAGGACTGGTCAGAAGAAACCACCATTTATTCATTTATTCTGGAAACCTCACACATTGAAAACCTGTAAGCAAGGTACTGTTCTAGGCTTTGAGTATAAAAAATAAAAAATGCATTATACAGAGCCCTCAGACAGGCAAACAGTCGCAAGGCAGTGGTGTAAATGCTGCAGGAAAACCATGTTATAGGTGATCTTGGATGGCCTGGGACTGCAGCAGCGTGGAGCAGGGCTTGGTTCCCAGCCAGAGACTGGGCTGGGTGGTGGTGGCGGTGGAAGCACCAGATCCTAGCCACTAGACGTGATCAGTGACAAGAGCCCTGGGCCTTTGGCTTTGCAAAAAAGAATTCCCACAAAGACAGGAAGTGGTGAAACAAAGTATTTATTAAGAGGAAAAAACATAGTGTGTGTGGATTAGGCACATGGGCAAACTCAGAGGCAGAGATCCTGAGTCATGCCCTCGGAAAGTCTGAACTACTTTTATAGGGTATTTCTTTTGAGTTTCCTTCGGCCAATCCTTTTGATTTGCCTGGTTCGCAGTCTGTATCTGGTGTATCTCAGAATCCCCCCGGAGCTTCCCTGCTGGCTCAGATGGTAAAGAATCCACCTTCAATGCAGGAGGCCTGGGTTCAGCCCCTGAGTTGGGAAGATCCCCTGGAGAAGGGAGTGGCAACCCACTCCAGTGTTCTTGCCTAAAGAGCCCCATGGACGGAGGAGCCTGGTGGGGTAGAGTCCAGGGGCTCACGAAGAGTCAGACTCGACTGGAGCGGGTTAGTCCACAGGCACGGCATGCTCCCACGCGTGCACACGCGCCTCTTAGCCAAGACAGATTTTACCAAAAAAGGCGTCTGGGTAGAGCACCCCTTGACATGAGTCTCCTTTGCCTCCAAAGAGCCTTTCTGCACATGTGTGCTCAGGGTGGTCTGCTGACGTCGAGAACGAGAACTGTGTGGTCTAGGCAGGGCCCAGCCTCCTCCCGAAACCGTCCTGCTATTCTTGTCTTGGAGTTTCAGTCCATAGGGGAAGAATCTCCAATTGTTTTACCCTCTGGGGTGGGGCTCATCTATCTCCTGCCTCAGGCCCTGGGTCCTGTGGTCCATGCTGAACGTCTTAGACCAGCTCAACTTCAGAGCCCATCTCAGCCTCGCGCTCTGCTCTGTTTTGCTAGAAGCTGACTCTTGCAGGCTGAGATTTACAGAATCCTGGGTCAGGTGGCTAATAGCTAGATATGGCCCGTGAGCAGTGTTGGAGAAAGAGTGGAAGGTGGGAGAAAAGTTAAGAGAATTTCTTCACCTCCCTCTTGCCTCTGACAGCATCTCCGGCCGTGACTGCATCTGACCAAGGCTTCTGCCAGGTGACCCCAGCCCTTGGCTCAGACTTCCCGTTAACTCTCCAGCTTAATGACATGAATGACTTTCTACTAAGATTAGTTGCTGGTAACTTCTTCCTCTCTTTGCATTTCAGATCCTCCATCTCCTGCAGGGCAATGCCCTGCTTTAAATTCCTTCTGTGTACATCAGCAAATCCCAGTGGACTGGTAACTTACAAAATGACCTGAGCAGTACTCCTCAAAAGGATGCATGAATGCTAAGTCGCTCAGTCGTGTCAGACTCTTTGCGATCCTGTGAACTGTAGCCCACCAGGCTCCTCTGTCCATGGGATTCTCCAGGCAAGAATTCTGGAGTGGGTGGCCATGTCCTTCTCCAGGGGATCTTCCCAACCCAGGGATTGAACCCAGGTCTCCCGCATTGCAGATGGATTCTACCATCTTAGCCACCAGGGAAGCCCAAGTAGAGTGATTAAAAACCAGGAAACGCTGAGAAACTGTTACAGCAAAGAGGAGCTTTAAGGGGACATGACAGTTCCGTGTACTGCAGCAGACTGGATGGGATCGTAGACAGAAAAAGGACAGCTGGTGAAAACCAAGAAAATTTAAATGAAGTATGGATTTTAGCCGGCAATACTGTATCAATATTGGCTCATTGATTATAATAGTACCATACACTGACATATAAGATGCTCGTAATATGGGAAAGTGAGTGTGAGATGGGTGGGGACTCTGTACTATTTTCTCAACTTTTCTGTCAGTTTAAACCTGTGATTTTTCAAAAGTCTATTTAAAAACAAAAAAAAGTCCTTCCATGGTAAACAGTTGAAGTGGTTTTATTTTCCTACTATGGGAACCCCCACCGCCTCCCTTCCTAAGCAGGGGCTACGTCCGGCCCAGCAGATCTGGGGGCTTTTTTATTGGGACCTAGGACAGGGGGGTTCATGGTCCTGACATCAAGAAACCACCCAGCAAGGGATCAAGCAGCTCCGGGAAGCCAGGAGAAAACCTGAGTCTGAAGCCAGAACGTGGTCTGGGCAAGGCTGATGAGAGGCAGGAGATGGCTGTGAGCGGCGGGAAATGGAGAGAGCGGCTCCGTGTGGAGCCAGGTCCAGGGAGAGCAGAGAGGCTGCTTGAGAGGCTGTGGGGGGGGGGCTGGTCCCACCTTTGGGGGGGGACCGAGAGGAGGGGGGGCCTCAGGAGGAAGGGGGGAAGGAAGAACAGAAATGACAGCAGCTCAGAGGCGCTGAGTCATCGCACATGCAGCTTCTCGTTTCTAGCCCCTTAGAAGCAGGGTACTATTTTTATTTCCATTTTACAGATGAACAGACTTGCCCCAAAAGGCACAGATTATTTATGGGCAGAATAGCAGCCCAATTACAAGTCTGCAGGGCACAAAAAGAGGATCGACAAGCCTCCATA